TTTTTCTGTCAAAAATCTTATTCCACATTTCAAGAGTGGCGCCTTTTCTGAAATAAAATATAATTTCGTCTTGCGATGGGTTTAACAAATCTTTTTTATACTTCCGAGTAGTTTTTAAAAAATTTAATTAAGTTCCGTCATAAGTTTTACTTACAGTGGAAGAAAACAAATTAAACGTAATTCAGTAATTGTTTTAGATTCGAAGCGTAGTGAGAAACGTATTGATTTTACAGTGATGTATATTGTTTTATACTGTATACCAAAATTTCGATCAGAAATCGTTTTGCAATGATACAGTATAGTAGTATTTATACATTTGTTACGCCTAATGTTGAAAAACGGTTAATATGTCAAATTGTCGTTCAGTAAATCAGTTTTGTGCCGTTAATTTTAAATATTATAGTAAATTGTTCTTTTATCAAACTTAAAGAACGTAAGTAAAATTGGTTTTTCATTTCGGTATTTTAATTTTGAAACGGGATGCGAGTACGAGAAATATTACAATTTAAAACCCGTTGTTTATCGTGTGAATATTATTGTATCTTATCGTATTCTTACCTACAACAGTAGCCTTTTTTATTATTATTATTTTTTTTATTTATGCCATTGATATAGTATACATATTTTAATATATTTTAACGCAGATACTTATAATATTTAGGTACTTTCAGTTATTTTTATTTCACTGGAAAATATACGGGACTTTCAGCGGAGCGGTAAAATACGCGTATTGAATTACGCATAGTATAAAGACTAAAAAAAAAAATAAAAAAAATATCGTGCCGCAAGGACGTTTATTTTTTCTTAATACTTAATTAAATACATTCTGCCCGAGAAAGAGAGAGAGAGAGAGAGAGTGCCCGTGATGCAGTTATCTACTATCCGTGACATGAATTGTTTTAGTGTGTATTATTAAAGGGAGAGTCCGGGGAGTCTATATATTTACACTAAACTGAATATTATGGAATTTGCACGTCCGCAGGTAGACGAAAAAAGTGTTAGTAATTTGCACCAAAACCGCTATATATCTTATTTGAATAGGTAAATTAGGATCGATAGAGTGGAGGATTATTAAGCCCTTTATAATTTTTATTTTTTTAAGTATTTTTTTTAAAAATGTAAGTATACTTTATGAATTAATATTAACTTTTAACTTTTTTAACATTTAAGAAACAAACAATTCTACAGTTTTATATTTGGGTCACTCTTATTTATGGGGGTAAAATCACTACCTACTTTAGATTTTTAAATAGTAGCCTATATTAAAAAGTCCATTAATAGATGGAGTATAAGTTAAAATAAATTTTAAGGTCGGAAATCAAAAATTTCGACTCTATGGCAGCACTTTTACCGGACTTACCTAAAAGTATTTTTTTCCCTCTGCATTGGATTCGCTGTTCCATAGCCACTTTTATCAGCACAGAAGCATATAAATAGTTCAATTACAATTATTAAATATCACGAAATCCTACTGAAAATTGAATGTATCTAATAACAATTTAAAAATGAATTTACGAAATTGCTTATAACGGTCCTTCATTATAATAGCATCAACAAACATATCGTTTTGTACACCATAATATAAAAAAATATATTCGATACCTATGACTAAACAACAAAATACGTTTGTGCACTACTCTGCACTCAGTAGGATACTTTCAAATTATTTAAATAATATAACGGTAAGTATACATGTACACAAGTCACTGTAATATAATATATTCTATGGCATGTCTCCTGCAGGTTAGGTATATAAAGTATTGTATTATGTTATACGCTCTGAAACTAATATGTTATACCTAATAATAGTACGAAATATACCGTTACGTGTGTAGTGTGAAATTGGATTTAGTGGAAGATACATTTGTTATTATGTTGAAAATAAATATACTCGACGCTTATTGTTTGCAGTATATAGTAATATACTAATATATAAAGTGCATTTTATACAGTTCGGGAATAATTTGGGGTCTGGGTTGAAAATGTTAAAATAATTGTTATCCGAATACTTACCCACGAATAGTAATATAATAATATATTTACTTCCATTTATAATCCATGTGTGAAGTTGGGAAGACAGTAACCATACAATTATTCAGTTTATATTAGTACGCAACGATAAATCAATGTTGACGATACACGATTTTGAGCCGTAACTTTTACGGTTTTTGTCAGAATTTGAACTCGAGTTTATAAAAAATAAACTTATTACATTTAGCTCGCATTTTTTTTTACCATTAACTTATTGTAATGAATCTAGTGTTAAATGTTTAATTATTTCTGTTGAGCCAAACCATTGTATCCACATAAAATCAAATACGATTTAATCGAAATTCTATGAAAATTTCAAGTAACTATGATTATATTTAACCAAATTGAAAAAAAAAACAAAAAATAAAATAATAAAGCCCTAAATGTCGTGAAACTCTTACGTTTTTTGTCAACTTTGTTCCCGGTATCTCCCAAATATTGAGAAAATTACAATGACGATAATAAAAAAATACCTTCTTAAGCACTAACACCGAGTAGACAAAATTATCTTTCAAATAGTATGACGCTACACATGAAATTTGAAACAAAATGTCAAGCTGAAAAACCGAATCGAATACACTTTAAATAGGTAGTGGAATCGTTAACACCGTACATTTGTTTGTTTTCCTTAACGTTTTTTCCCGATTTTCCCCAATTATTATGAAAACTGCTTGGACTTTCTAACTCAGCAACTATGGATGCTATTCTTGAAACTTTGAGTAAGATTTTTTGTAGAAAACAAATATCGTATAAATTTAAAATAATAAAACCGTACACTCTGCACACAGTGGTATGAAATTTATATTTAGTCTTCAGGCACTACTTCAGGTCTTCAAATGAACCTATTAAATTTTCAAGCATTTCTAATTGGTGGAACAATTTTATCCACAGAGTACCTATCGAATAAAAATTCCGCGTAAAGAAGTCAATAAAATAAAATGTCTAGTCTCAAATAGTTCAAAATGGCTATAATATTTTGAAAATTTATTTACGTCTAAAAAAAGGCAATATAATTTTTCTATCAAAATTTCAAGAATCTACGATTATTTTTAACTGAAGTATGCATATATACAAAAAAAATTAAACATTATCGTAAAACCAATACGTACCTCGCTTTGCTCAGAATCTAAAATACGTACTTAAATTGCATATTTCTTAACTAATAAATAATATATTGTAAAAATGAATTGTCGAATAGTGCTAGCATCATAAAAAATTGTTTAGATCAAATATAAATTGTCTACTTCTTGTTGTAAATAATCGCAATAACAAATACATAATATTATAATCTATATAGGTATAATAATAAAATGCTATTTTCTCACACAGACATGCGAACAAAATTATTAAGAAACTAAACTTTACACGAATAAAAGCAATAAGAATAACAATGATTTTAACAATATTTGTATCGTATGTATACTTATAGAGTGAAAATAGTTTATGTACATTATAGTTTTAATCTGATGCAAACATTTTTTTTTTCATTTTACATTTGAAAACTTGCTCTACAAGTTGTATGTATTGATAATTTGGTGAAAGTGCTTCCATTTTTGTGACATACTTATATAAAATAATAATAAAAAATTGTTTATATCAATTGTAATGTGATATGTGGAAATAAAAAAAAAAACCATGAATTATATTATTATTAACAATAATATAAAAATAAATTTAAACAATCAATAATTAATAAAAAACATTTTCTACTTGATGAAAAAAAAAAATGAACAATAATATAAAGTGTTTTAATCAAACTCATTCACCAATTTATTAACTTGAAATTGTAAATTTGATATACATATATTTATTAATTAATTAATTAATTTTTTTTTTAATTATTAAATTTTCATTTTTAAATTATTTTTTACAAAATACGGTCGGCTAATATGAATTTCATAACACTGTTTCGCGGTGCAGTAAATATATTTTCGGTTTTCCTACGAGTAGTTTTCACAGTTTACACAGACCTTTATACATTTTAGATTCTGAGTGTAGCGAGGAATTATATTGGTTTTACAATGATGTTTATTTGAAATAATTGCACTTGAGTGGGGAAAAACGTACGATTTTACGATTTCATTATTTTAAATAAACACGTACGACGTTTTATACCAGAAACAGTTCTCTGATGGAAAAATGATAGATCTTTTTTGTTGCATTTCGGATAAATATCCGTACAGACTTACTAATGTAAGATAATAAATGTAAAATAAAATTTAGTAAACATATTAATATAAGGCATTGTATTTGAAATTCTCGAACATTTCGATAACGTCTACCTACAATATTTCCGTAAATTGGAATTACAACAATTTCTACCCCTTAGTTTTGTATTATATGGCTGATTTTTTACAATTATCTTGTGTAGGAGTTAACATTATCTGTTGTAGGAGTTCATGCTATTTTTTGTAGGAGTTTTGTAACTGGTAACCAGTTATCATATGCGGAAAATAGAGTAATAAGGAAACTATCAGACCCGGTAAGTAAGAAAGAAGAACTGATCACCATTGCTGAGGTACGATTGTACCACCAAAAGGGATGAGACAACTCAATAAGTAATAGTATGGACAACCAAGATAATGAGATTCAGATATACGAACGGTGACAGAAGAACAGACACCTATGACTAATAATATTATATATTATATGTATACAGGATACAGTGTGTCCCTTCTAGTTCGACGGATTATTCTAGAGCTGTTTTTTTTTTTTATTAAATTTTTTTTCTTATATTTCTTTTTTTTCTTTCAATCGGTTTGTCTTCGAGGGTAATTTTTCACCAAATCAATGTTCCCTTCGTAGACAAACCGATTGAAAAAAAAAATGTAATATTAATAGCGCTAGAAAAATCCGTCGAACACGGTAGGACACACTGTATATATAAAGAGTATAGATTAATAATAATTGATTTCATCGGTATGCGACACGCATACCTCTTCTATTTCACTGAAATTATTTAAATTAATTTAATTTTTTTTTTCTAGACATTCCATTTCTTCTTCTTTCATAACTAATTGAATAATCATATCTATTTCTTTTTTGGATAACTTAACATTTTCAGTACTAATCATCTGTATCACCTAAAATATAGTATATACAAATATAATTAAAAGAACGTTTAAACAATATAATTATTCAACTTACTTTCAACACAGTATCTAATCTTACTGATCCATCACCGTCTTCATCGATTTTACTCAAAATTTCAGCAATTTTTTTTATCTTTTCGTCATCTGGTACATTTTGTAGTTTTCGTACCCACGAGATTAATTCATCGATTTTGATTTTGATCAATTCACTGCAATAAAAGAAATAAAAACATTTAACATATTTTCAACTTGCAGTATTATAAGAAATATATATTTACCACTCTACAGTAGTCGGTTCATCAATTGATACTTTATTTTTAACATTACAACATTCAATTTCACTTTCGTTTAATTCCAATTCGTTAACGACTTGCTCTATTTTATAAATCATATAATTGACTTTGTTGAATAAGTTGTTGGCCGCTTTCGATTCTCTAACCTTTTCATTTTTCTCAGCAATCATTACTTCTTGAAGATTATTTACATCCTACAATTAATACAGAATAAAAATATTTTATGTAGATATAAGTCTATAAGGTTTATAACTGACTTTTAGGGGGAGAGGAGACGAAAAAGAATAACAAAAATTAATAGAAAATAATATTGAAGAGCCCATAACCTATCCCCGATATTTTAAAATTCCATTCACAATCATTACCATGATCAATACTCATTAAATTATTTATTGTAAACAAAGAATAGGACCAAAGGTGGCGATCTACCTACCACACTCATTATACCACCACTGACATAAATTGCATAACAATGTCTTAACCTGTAATTTTTATATTCTATAACAGTTCATTCAAAATTTAGATTTAGGTTTTTGTTTTTAATACACAAATTGTATACATAGATAAATACTGTACCTTTTTTAAAATATAAGTACAAAAGTGGCATACTAAAATATAAATATGATTATTAAAATTGAATTGCAGACTTTACAAAAAAAATATATCAACTGAAAACTTATTAATAACAAGTTCCTTTTTCTTTTTAATGTGATAAATTGAAATATTTTGAGCATCCAATAAAACGCGATAATCTAATAAGTTATTCAGAATTCAAACTAACCGATTTTATCTAAAGTTATTAACAAAAGTCAATTTTAATTTAATACTAACTTTGTAATCAGTAATTACCCACCTTTGATAATTAGTGACATTATAATAAATTAGTATTATTATTTATTCATAAATTATAATCAACATTACATATATCAGGAGTGTCCTCAGGGGGTGGGAGGGGGCAAATACTAATTTCGAATACCACACAATAAAAACACATTGCACTTACTTTCGCGTAGTCATTGAGTTCACCTTTCAAATCTTTAATTTCTTCTTTTTCCACAACAAGTTTCTTTTTTTCACAACTCAGATTTTCAATAGCATTTGCAAGTGTTTTGAAATCAGTTGATGTAATTTCCTATAAACAATTATTACGGTTAGTATTTTAAAATATAATAAATTCTCAACTAACCTCTTCTTTAATTATTCCAATTGTGTCTTTTAAAACTGGTGCTTTATCAACTAATTCTTCTAGTTCTTTTTTCTTTACTTCCAAATTTTCTTTTATTTCTTCGGCCACCTTCCGTTCCTCCTCCTTAATTGCTTCCAATTTGGCCTTGTTATTTATTGTACCATCACGTTCACCCAAATCTGCTTTAGTTGATACTCCAACAGAATCAGGCAATTCTGAAATAGCCCTCTTAAGTAAATCACTGATTGGTATATTTTCTGTAAAGCTGAATGCTCTAGAAATGAGGAGTAAAGAAGGAGGAACTTTTTCGTTTAATGATAGGTCTAGCCATTGAGTAAGTTGTTGTTGTAGACGATTTTCAGTGAGACCATAGGCACGCATTCCGCGGGCTAAACATGCTTGCTGAAGTTCACTTAGATTTAGTGTACCGACACCTTCTTTTTGGATCTTCTATATATTAAAAGGGAAAAAATAACAAAATAATATATTTTTAAAATAAACTTAACATACTTTATCGTCAATTGCTAAAGAACGAAGTTTAAGTCTGAGTTTAAATCTTAAAAAGTTTGTAGTGCCAATCGGCCGAAGATCAAGTACTCGACAGAGGGCAACTAATTGAGGTCGAGGAAGCGAGTCTAATGTAATTTCATCTTTAAACAGCTTTGAATATTTAAGTATTTCATCAGCTGATATAACATTACCTTCTTGTCTTACCTAAAATGGTACCATTATTCAAATATGAAACACAAATATTAAACCAATTAAATATATACTTTGGTGAAAAAGTCTGAAAACTCTTTGGCTGATTTACACGTATGCCCTTGACCACAGACAGCCATATGGTTCAATGTTTCTTGAAGAAATTTTGCCACTTCAAGTTTCACTTTGAGAGATTGTTTGAGTTTTGCTTCCTAAAATAATTGAATATTAATATGATATAATAATATATAACATATAAGTAGAACTTACTTTTTCGTGTTTTGTTTGAAAAGTAGTTGGTAACATACCAGGGAAAACCTTGATGAAAATTGGTAATGTGAATTCGAGAAATGGTACAACAACAAACACAGAAAAAGGTAATAGACGAAAAAGATCGGCCAAAGTTTGAACAAACTGAAATGTAAAAAATTATGTTAATCACGTAGTAAAGTGTTAAACAATAATGGATTTGGTAACCAACCAAATTAATGGAATTCGAACTCATAAATTTACTTAGGTTTTCACATAACACAATAATCATTAAAAAAATAAGGTTATATTTATAGGTTATATAATAAGGTTCGGAATAATATTATTCTTAGAATTATCTTAATCTTTAATCTTAAATTCCTTTATGTTAATATTATGTATTTATGCATTTAACTATTTTATAATCTTTAAAAATAATTTGTTCAGTTTTATTTATCTACTTCTCTTATTATGCATATAATATGATTACTATATTATAATTATATAAAATATACATGTATACATATTTTTTCTTTCTATATCTTTCTTTTGTTTGCGAAAACATAAAACACGTTATATTTGTAGACGTATATAGTGAATAAAATATATATGATAATTGATAAGACAATAAATCCTAGGTTTTCGATGAATTTTCCCGGTTTTTTCCAATTATTAGGAAATCTCTCGGGAAAATCAAAAAATGACTTCCCTAAAGTATCACCCTCATTATCAAGTAAAAGTAACTTACTATTTATTTACTTACTACTTATTTAAAATAACTTACTAGGTTATGTTCTCTTCTTGTCAATTCTTGTCCTTTCATTTTCTTAATAGCCAATTTAAGGGAAATTTTGCAATTGAGTCCCAAAAGCTTAAAACCGTTATAATAGTGCATCAATTCATCTTTAATTTTCTGTTGAATTGACTTTTTTGGTTTTATAGCTGAAGTTTCCTTTCCTTCAGATTCTTTTTTAGCCTTTTCTTTGGCTGCATTTACAGTTTCTTCAACTTTAGATGAATGTTTGTCCGATAATATCGATGGCGTACACGTTATTTTTCGAATTTGAATGAATGATGTTTGTTGAACAGATAAAATATTAGAGTAGTGGAAATTGTTTGACTTTTTATACGGCTGGGCGTTTAAACAAATAGCACCAAAATGTTTGTTGTATATTTTGTAAGTATCTAAAATGAAAAAAAAAAAACAAACGGACATATTTCACACGATGGGTTGTGAAATTTAATGCTTATCGGTACGTAACGATTACTCTTTGCTAACGAAAAAGCGATTCTGAGCAGAGTTCGGTTACACATTTTTTAAATGCCTTACAAATGTCATACTATTTACCTACGTTTTGCCTACGTTTTTATCAGGTTTTTCCCATTTATTAGAAAAACTCCTGAGAAAATCAAAAAGTTACCACCTTAAAGTACCATCCTACAGTCAAAATTATTTTTAAAAAAAAGTGCTGAATTTAGATATCGGAGCAAAATTTTTGGTAGAAGAGTTGTCTGCTTGTATTGTAACAATCCTTGTTTCAATTTTATTTTTATCTTTTCGCTGTTAATTTTTGAATTGTCAACATTTTGTTTAGAGCGAACTTGTGGACAAAATTAAAATTTTTAGATCCAGTGATTTGGGCTAAGTATAAGACATTATCTTTATACATTATTGAACGAAAAAAAATAAAAACGTGTCTCCTCATACCAATTAACTAAAATGTATTATTTTTTACCCGTGACCAAGAAATTAACTAAAAATAACTATTTTTTTCACATATTTTGTCAAAGTTCCTACCTATAAATCAATAATAATATTTTGAATTATGTTGCAATATTATCAAAAAAACACTATCAGGCGAATTTCGGGATAAAAAGTATTTTATGTTTTAATCTAGAACGTATTCTATATGTGTGCCAAACTTCATCCATTATTATTTATAATATTATCATTCCTTTTAATAAGTAATTCATTCCCGTTCCTCGTTCCTACTACAAAAAAGAATTCGTTTCCCTTCTTCGTACCTTAAAAATGGAACGGCTCGTTATTTTGAGCAGTCCTTTTTTTTTATGAATGCAGTTTAAGATAGTTTTATTTATATTCTTAATTTGAAAATATCATTAATTAATTTTCTTTGGAAATATATGCATATTTGATTTGACATTCAAGATTTTCATGGCTTATTTATTAGTCACTTCACACTTGTGTATCTACTTAATTTTCATAAAAAAATGAGTGTAGTGTGAGTTAATCAAGTCAACTAAAATTGAACACTATTATTACTTTTTGGAATTGTCATGAAATCATAATAGATTAAATTTAATTAAATTAATTAAATTAATTTCCTACCCAAAAAGATGAAAATGAAGTAAACATTTTCTTTGGAACCATATAATATCTTATTATGTACCTTGTATGTTAATAAAAATGGAGAAATAGTACATTGTGCTATTGTGGTTATTTATTAATAACTAACGAAGTGATGCCGACATTAAATCATTTTTAAACAATATTACCACTAAAATTACGTGCGTTTAAATTCATAGTCTTTCATATTCTTTCATAGAAACTTTTTCCCATTTCTCGTTCCTATATTTGAAAAGGGACGCGTTCCAAGCTTCGTTACTATGAAAAGAACGTGTCCTTTCCCAACATAAAGCATACGTAATGTATTATTAATTAGTTAAGTGGTAAAATTTAAATTTAAAAATGCCAAAAATAATAATTAGTTTGAGATGCCAACCGTTTGGGCGGAATGTTGTGTAAACGATACTGTGCCAACGTATTTATAATGCGTTTTTTCAGAGTATTTAAATTAGTTATACAGATTGTTTTTTTGTTGCTATTCTTAGCACGGTAAAATTATAACTCCTTACCCCTCTAGGGCTGGATTTTTATTTTTAAATAGCTGATAATAAATTAATATAACATTTTATATCTAGTTTTCTAATTTCTCCGCGGGCCTTGACGATAAACCAGAAATATTTATGTTTAATAGAAATTAAATATTAAAGTTATATATACTTTGCACATTGGATGCTTGCAATCTTGTCTTGACGTTTTCGTTCAGTAGGGTTTTTGTATTGGAAAAAAATCTATCGATACAGCGTGTCGAAGAAATGCGTTCGTTTCGTAAAACGGAGGCACCTAACAAAATTAAATACACTATAATTTAGTTCTCTTTAAAATAATTCAAAAATTAAAATATCTTATAAAATCTTATATCTTATAAAATGTGTATACTCTCATTGGTAAATTTCTCGTACTTTTATTATTATAAAAATCAATAAAAATAATTTTTGAAAATAGTTAAACTTTTGGCCTTAATTCTTTGAAAAAAAAAAGACATATTATATGTCCATTCCCCCCTACAATACGCCATAGTAAACAACGGATCACAATTTACTTTTCGTCCACTGTTTGGTTTTTAGAAGTTCCGTGAACCGAAAAAAAATAACGAATTACCGATGATCTCCTTTAGTAGTGTACGGTATGTTCCGCGGTACAAACCTTTATATTGGCTTCCCAACGGACTCGTTATATTTCTTTTCGAAGCAAACCTGACCGTGTTTTCAACTGAGTACTTGTTCAGCAATTGCACGACAAGGACTTTGGAAATACCGGCCAATATGTGCTTACGACCAATCATATTGAAATCAAGCTGAGTTTACTATAACTATTGAAACAGTAATATTACAGATTTATAATAGTCTATATAGAAAAACAAACGATATATAAATAAACTTTATACGTACGATTTTTCCTATAACAACGACAATCACATACTGGTTGTGTACGATTTACAATTCGTTCGCCATCAAAAAATAACAAAACTTTTTTTTTTTTTTTTTGGATCTAGTTAGTGCATTGTGAAGTCATTTTTTGATATTAAAAGTGGTTTTCATAATGTTTGGGAAAAACCGGAATAAAACGTATCAGGGTATTCAGTATCAGGTATTGCGTATCAGGTATACGTACCAGGGAAAATACCTATACCAGGGAAAATGAACACAATATATAGGTGTGCTGGTACGACATCAACTCACGATTTTACTATTTTAAATTTGTTGACGTTATTTTTATACAAACGAAATCTTACACCGAATTATTAATGATAATTAATTATTAATCATTATTAATGAATTTCAATTATTTTCATAATTTTATCTCGACGGTTCGTATTGTTTGTAATGAAATGGTTTTTTGATTTTTCGCGAGTGTAGTTTTGTTAATAATTGGAAAAAACATTGAATAAATGGAAAAGTTTATACTATAATTAAGTGAAGGAATTATAAAGAGGATTATGTAGAAGAAAATATTGGGAGATGGTATTTCGCATCAATTTTGTTGCTTGTAATTTTCACCACCAATAAGATACATTTAAGTGCGTGTGTAAGTTATGCTAACATATATAAATATAACATAAATTTTGCGCCACATCTAAAAATTAATTTTTGTATTTCATACCAGGACAGAAAACAAAGTGGTATATGTAATCTGCGCCACACTTCTAACTTCAACTTTTGGAATTTATCATCTGATAATAATTCTAATATCGCATCGACATAATATAATATTGTTGTGTTCTACTAATAATAAGTAAAGACGAAATCGATTACGTCTAATCTAATAAAAATTATTCATAAAGTACGTATACTAATATACATTAATTATAATTATAATATAACCGATTTTTATATGTTTTATTACTAACCAAAATTTGACTTATTTAATGTACATAAAGTACAAACTATTCAAATGAACTTGATTGATAAATGATTAAAAATGCAATATGGTAATGTGTTAAAAAAAAAAATAGTTTAATTATTTTAAGTAGCGCAAATTACAATTTGTGTAGGTACAAGATGGCGCAGATTATATAATTACAAGTTACGTACATTTATTTATTTTTTGATTGTTTTTGGCGCAAATTACATACGCCCAAAATATTATGTGTATTAAAACAAGGGCGTCATTTGGGGGGCAGGGTGTACGGTCACCTGCTGAAATAATGCACCTTTTTTTTTTTATATATAATTAAAATTAAATTTTATTTTTATATTAGCAATATTGGTGTTTTATTGTCTGCAGTAAACAAATACCGTGCTATCAAGTAATTGAGTAAAAAATGGATGTATCATATATTTTATTTTATTACTTACCAGACATACCTGATACCTACAGAATACAGATTACGGATATAGATTATAGATACGGAGCACAGTTGGATGACTTCACGATTGAACCGTTAACGGTTGTTATTTTAAAAACATTGAAAACTATTTCATTTTTAAAAACGTCACCAATTATAATGGCATCCAATGAGAGGTTTTTCATCGTTAAAAAATGTAAAATCACATTTCCGTGGGCGATGAACAAGGCTAAAATATTATCTTATGATGCTAAATGTTTAAAAAGAAGTAAATAATATCGATTTAGAAAAAGTTGTAGATGTATTTGCTGGACTTGGAAATCGCTGGTATTCTCTTTAATATCCTCTTAATAATACTCTAATTAGATGCAATTGATTTGTTTTTCCAGAGTGTTTTGCTAGTGAAAAAACTATACATACCATTTAGTTAATAATAATGTGAATATTAAATGCATTTTTCTTTTCTTATTTTTCACTGCATTTATCGTCTTCAATATTTGTATGCGTTACTTATTGGTTTTCATAGGTAAAGTGTCAATTATTTATTAGTTTTTAGATTTTAAATAGCTTTTTACTATTTATGTTTATTGCGATTCATAATCCATTGAAACAATTAAAAGCTGGATTATATACATAGATATATTATATTATATTAGTACCTGTCATGTATATTTCTATATTGCCTGGTGAAATATTTAAAACGGCCTGCTTGAAACCTCGCAAAAAAAAATTGAAAAGACGCCCCTACATTAAAAACATATTATTTGTCCCCTGGCACAAAACCAGATAGAATAAAATAAATAAATATTGATAGAATTATTAGCACAACGATTATATTGTAGAACATACTGTATATGACCGTGATTATAGGTAATATATGATTTTAAAATTGATATGTAGATGTTTTATCCGTTTTGAAAGATAAGGTTTTGGTTACGGATATCGGGATATAAGGATATTATTGTTAGGATATTAGACACTCGCATATCAAAAGTAAGTTTGTCTATTTTATCAAAGATTTTGTCTTGATTTTATTTATCCAAACAAGAATTCTCTATCGTGGTATTCTACACCATTTTACTAAATCATACTTATCTTATCATATTCATCTCACATCATATTAAACATGTTGATGTTTCTGGTTGCAGACTATTTAATAAGTCAAATAACTCATAGTTAATTTTATCAATTCCTTTGAGATACCTGAAAAGTGTCAAGTGTATAACATCACCGATGTAAAATTACCCTGTTTACGAAAATTGTATATTATAAATCAATTGGTTGGAACAAGTTAGAACGAAATCTACATTATACGCGTTTTACCAAATCTATCTTAGTTGCATGGAACTATTGTGATAAAAATTAAAGCTTTCTACACAATTTATATACTGCTCAAAAAGGAGCTATTAATTAATTCAAATTTGGAAAATACAAATTAATAATAAAGTTAAAATTTTATTGGTAAAGTCACCAACCAACTAGATAAAAAATTCGACAAAAAAGACCTGTTGGTGTTTTTTGTTATTGGTGCGATATTTTTTTAGAAAAAAAAATAGGTCGCAAAAATTTAAAATAAAGGAATTTTAGCGATCCCCTCCATAGTCTATTTTATTTTTATTTTTATTTTTCCGCACGACAGTATTTACATCACGGTAAGCATCATACATTCTTTAAAATTCAGTGTGACGCTTTTATACTACTTATACTAACGCAGGAAAAAACTTCAAATAATTACTACAAATAGGTAGTAATTATTATTTGACAGTTATGTCACAGAATAGAACAATATGGTTATGTATTGATAATCTGATTGAGAAATAAGGGAATAATGGCGATGAGAACACTTGAAAAGGAAAGAATTATAAAATATTCGACCCGTGTCACGAGGCGGGTCAAAAAATCTGTACCCGTATCACAAACGAATTTCTTTATTATATTTCATTATATTATTTATATTATTTCTCTTTTTATATAATTTTTCATTTATTTTTAAATTCTCTATCACAATATACCCAACACGGTATAATAAATTTACATAATGATGATATTAATGTTAATAAATACAATGTTTTACGTGTTATAATACAAAACAAAATAGATATCCGCAGTTATGCTCGATACAGATAGGTTTTTAACATGAAATAAAATTGTCATAAATTGTCATTACATTATAATATTTATTATTACTTTATCCATAGATTTTTCCAAATGGTATTACACATTTTTGTCGAAAGCAATTGAACGACATTAAAAATTATGAAGTTCGTGTGCACAATTGGATACCTGATTATAGACTTCAAGTTTCCGACTTGTGACAAACGAAATTTGAAATTCGAGCATTCTTGGTTACGTTCACTTATGTGGTTGGTGTATTCTGCTGCAGAGGACGGAACTTACTGCCGTTATCATGTCTCGTTTGGATCAAATTTGGTTGGAAAAGGAGATCGTCAAAACACACATTTATTAGTTTAGACTGAGTTTCGAGATTGGAAAAAAGCACTCGACAAATTTAGAGAACACCAAAACAAAAAAAGTATACATATATGACCTTGACGGTCAGCGAAATTTAAGAAAATACAACAACTCGAAATCCAATCGGAAATCAATAACACATATTTTATTATTATATTATTATGTATATTATACATATATATATATTACAAATAACAGTAAATTTGGTTGGCTCTTCACGCCGACGCCACTTTAGCCGATTAGCGTCAGAATACCGTTAAATAATTGCAAACAGTTTTATGTTTTTTTCGGGAATTTTTCAAAGTGGTCGGTTAGTCAAAATCGGTGTCGAAATATCGTCAAATAATTATATTAAATTGATTGCAAATAATTGCAAATCGAGTTTTCCTAATTGCAAATCATTTGAGTATTTTTTCTTTGGAATTTTTCTTTATTACAACCATGTTATAATACTATAGTTAAAGCAGTATGTCTTATTTTTGTTCAAAATGAAACGGAGTTACCTTTAGATAATAGGAAATTGAAAATCGGTTTATATTATCACTGCTTATGTTCAACGGGCGCTATGTGTACAATATTTATGATTCTAATATTATTGTTAATAATAATAATAGAGCCGTTTTATTTGAACAAGTCCAATGTGATAGTAACAGGAACAAGTGGATGAAACGAAGTAGGTGAAACGAAAATTTTAACAATTTATTGAAGTGCTGGGATGACGACGAAAAATGGAATTTATCTAAACAAGTTAATATTGATGTACTACTTAGTACTGGCTGCACGATTTGTATTTATATACATGATACATCAAACATTTTTAGAGAAAAAAATTAAAAATTGAATAAACTGGTATCGAACCAAGTTTTTTTTAAAAAAAAATTGTTATACGAAACACGTAATAATTTTCGTTTTATTTAGAAAACACAAAAGCCCGAGGGCACCGAGGGGGAACACATATTTCCCTTTTTTTTTCAAATCAATTATTATTTATTATTGAGCACATTATATATTTGTCTTGTTTTTTTATTGAAACTAAATAACACGAACTTTATAAAACATTGGCTTTAATTTCCAATAGTATAGGTTTTTTTTTTTAAATCGAATTGTAAATTTCGAAAAGGGTTTATCTTTGAATATAAAATATCCAGAAGAGTATTCTGGATACAAGATAGAAATTCTGGTACATTATATTTCTTTAACTTCTGTGAGTCAATATGTCGTTCGTTCCGAAATTTAATTCATGCGGCAGTGATTTGAAACCTATGTAAGGTTCTATTCGCTCATTAAATTTCGGTATACATATATATATATAATAATGTGTTGATTTTTTTTTCAATTTTAAATTTCGAAAAGGATTTATCTCTAAATATAAAATATTCTTCTGGTACATTATATTTCTTTAACTTCTATGAGTCAATATGTCGTTCGTTCCGAAATTTAATTCATGCGGCAGTGATTTGAAACCTTACATAGGTTTTATTCGCTCATTAAATTTCGGTATACATATATATAATTAAATAATGTGTTGATTTTTTTTCAATTTTGAAAAAAATCCTCGAGATGGGCCCTTTCGAAATTAACAACTCAATTTGTAAGTGATTATTTATTTTCATTACTATACATTATTTCTGTAACAAAATTTTTCCGTATCGGAGGTCAGTTCAAACAGTTTTTAACCGGTTTAAAATCAATAAAAAATGGTTTAAGAAAAATCCAACAGAATGGCCTGCAATTGATGAACGTCATAGTACTGGGAAAAGGATTCTAGGAAACATTATGGTTATAAGTGGTATAGCAGAGGGGAGAAGTATGAAACTCGCATAAGATTTTAACAATTTCGTTATAATTAATGAGGAACAGCAACGTACATACAATGTTTCACAATTTGTTCAAACTCATCGTCGTTTCATTCCAAATACAACTAAAGAAACGGTTGAATAAAACATATATTAATTTGAATGTTATAAACATCAATTATCATATTTAACGGCGTGTTTTAAATTAATTGATAATATATTTGAGATTAACATGTAGAATTCGATCAAGTGGTAATATACAAGGAGGAAACGTTATAATTTTCTATTTTCAAAGATACCTACGATATTATTTTGTATTTTGTTCATATTTATGTTATTTCGTACATTACAAATGGGTAGTGGGTAAAAAATGTAAATAATCTTTTTTTTATAGAGAATGCTGTGTTGGTCGTTTTATCATATTGATTTTGTCTTCCTATGGGTCGAGGTTAGGTAGATAAATAAGTAATAAGAAATACAACGAATCTTCAAAATTATAAGGGTAGTCAACATGGGTTAATATATACATAAACGTTTAAAACAGTAGTATTTCATTATAAAAAGTAAACAATTTGGGGATAACGAAGTTTGTTCGAAAATTTTTACGAACTTATGGACATCCGAATATATATTTTAAAATCTCAGTTACATATCGTATGGAGTAGTGGCCAATGGACGGGGTCATTACGTAGCACATATACGGAGACACACGACGATTTATAAAAAAAAAAAAACTCACACAAACCAAACAAATACACAGTTCGACACTCACACTGTAATAATATACATTTTAACTTTAATTTCCAATAATTTTTTTTTTTTAAATCGAATTGTAAATTTCGAAAAGGGTTTATCTCTGAATATAAAATATTCTTCTGGTACATTATATTTCTTTAACTTCTGTGAGTCAATATGTCGTTCGTTCCGAAATTTAATTCATGCGGCAGTGATTTGAAACCTTACATAGGTTTTATTCGCTCATTAAATTTCGGTATACATATATATAATTAAATAATGTATTGATTTTTTTTTCAATTTTAAATTTCGAAAAGGATTTATCTCTAAATATAAAATATTCTTCTGGTACATTATATTTCTTTAACTTCTGTGAGTCAATATGTCGTTCGTTCCGAAATTTAATTCATGCGGCAGTGATTTGAAACCTTACATAGGTTTTATTCGCTCATTAAATTTCGGTATACATATATATATAATTAAATAATGTGATTTTTTTTTCAATTTTAAATTTCGAAAAGGATTTATCTCTAAATATAAAATATTCTTCTGGTACATTATATTTCTTTAACTTCTGTGAGTCAATATGTCGTTCGTTCCGAAATTTAATTCATGCGGCAGTGATTTGGAACCTATGTAAGGTTCTATTCGCTCATTAAATTTCGGTATACATATATATAATTAAATAATGTGTTGATTTTTTTTTCAATTTTAAATTTCGAAAAGGATTTATCTCTAAATATAAAATATTCTTCTGGTACATTATATTTCTTTAACTTCTGTGAGTCAATATGTCGTTCGTTCCGAAATTTAATTCATGCGGCAGTGATTTGGAACCTATGTAAGGTTCTATTCGCTCATTAAATTTCGGTATACATATATATCATTAAATAATGTGTTGATTTTTTTTTCAATTTTGAAAAAAATCCTCGAGATGAGCCCTTTCAAAATTTAAAATTCAATTTGTAAGTGATTATTAATTTTCATTAATATACATTATTTCTTCAACAAAATTTTATGTGCCATTATAATCAACCCCGTAACAAATTATACATTTCCTGACAATTTTTAAAATTTTTTTTTAATAAAAACCCATGTAGACAAACCAAAAAAATGTCTTGTTCTTTGATCTAATTAACAAGCACTAAGTATTACATCCATATTATATTATGTTTAATTAACGTACTATTGATATGATATATATTTTTTTTTTTTTTTTGTTTCATTATTTCACGTATGATTAATGCGCCTAATCGTTTTTGTAAATGGTAGAAAATGTTGAACATTATGGATAACTTTAAAAAAGTTTCCAAAAATAAATCTAAAATGATTTGCAATTATATTTCGTAATTAATTTACGGTATTCCGACGTTGATCGACCAAAGTGGAGTGGAGGAGGAGTTGCCCCCTCCCCCTCAAATAAGAAATTGATTTTACAAAGGAAATGGGGGTAATTCGCTCTAATTTGCAATTAATTTGCAATTGTTTAACGCCGTTTTAAATGTATTAGACTATTTCTTTGACCTGCGATTACGTTGCCGGTTGATCACCGGTGATGCTTCGCGTTATGTTGTGCATCGCGGACGATTCGGTGTGGTATCCGCCTGACTAGCAAACCGCAGGTGGCGGCGGTTTTGACGGTCGCGGTGCTCCGCGGCGGTGTGGTCGTCGATCACGGCCACACGCGCGGGACAAACGCCGCCGCCTCTCACTGCGCGACCGGCTTTGGTTCCCGCTCCCTTTCCGGTTCACTCTTCGGTTACGGCCGGAGCACCATATTTCTCGTCGCTTGCCCTCCATGACGACCGTGGTACCGCCGTCGCTGTCCAACGTTATCAACGGGTATTCACCCGATGTACTAGCACGGCACCGCGGGCCGTCGTCGCAGTCCTCGTCTTCGCTACGGTCAGCGCCGTGAGCGTAACAATTACAGCGGCGGCCGTCTTTATTGGTGATCTCGTTTTTCTGGTCCACGGCGACGGGCAAGTGATGGGCCTTTTCTAAATCGTCCGCCGCCGCTACGACTTCTTCTCCTCTGGCACAATCGATTTTACCACATTCACTTTCTCCGCCGAGACGAATGAAGCCGCTAGAGCATTCGCCACACCCGTCACCGTCCACAGCGTTACCTGCAGGAGGAAAATCTCCCGCCGTGGACGACGTTGGTGACTTCCGGCCGCCGCCGTGGTCCGCCACGACCGGTATGTCGTTGGCTCCCGCTCTCATTTTGTCGGCCGCTAATACAACTTCTCTTCCATCTCTTGCGCAGTGTTCGTTTTCACTTGCTCCGCCGAGAGGGATGAAGCCCCTGCAATATTCGTTGTCACCGCCGTCTCCGTCCGTGGCGGGTCTTGGAGGTAAAGCGCCCGGCGCGGCCACTACTTCGGACGGCAACCGCCACCGGTCCGCCGCGGGCCCGGCACCGGCGACGAGGGCGTCGTCGGCCTCTCCAACGGCTCCTACGGCGGAATTCCGTTCGCTGACCGACACAAAACCGATCGTAGCTATTGTTTCGTTTAGCTTTCGTTTAACACTGTCATAATATGGAGGACAGGTTTATAATGCGATTTTCTTACGACAATAATCGGCCGCGGTAACCATGGAACCGAAACCGCCGTTGATTGGTCGCCCTCGGCACTGTTATTCCGGCCAGACCCATTAATCCGTAGTTAACACGACATTACAATACGTTCAAACGTTTTCCCGCTTGTAAACGGCGTTTTTACCACAAATGCTGGCTCCGATAGAAAACTATGTGGGCACTGTCTTGTAGTGTTTTGGATCTAGTCGGTGTATTGTGGAAGTCATTTTCCTTGTATTTTTTTTTAAAAACGGGGAAAATTCAAAAAAAAAATATCGTTGCTTACTGGTATACGTTGAATTACCTATAACGGTGGCTACACCCGTCCCCATTATCTAAGGACGTATTTTTTAATTTTTCAATCTTTTTTAACCTAAAGAACTGGGTTTTCCTCTTTATCACGAATATTAATGAGAATTTCAAAAAATGATCTCTTTAAAGTATCATTCATAAAACATTTCTTTTCAGAAGGGGTGCTTTACTTGATAATCGGAGTATGCTTTCCGGTATAGATGTTCACATAAATAAAAAAAAAAAAACTAATATTGAAGATGGGAGCGGCCACTGTTTAGGTGAGAAGTTGGGCAGGTAGGATTCGTGACGTTATTTCATTTAGGGCTGTAAGCAAAGATAAACTATTGCTTGACGAAAGACGATTCCGAGCGCAGTTCGGTGCTACATTTTCGTTTAAATTTGATTTCAAAACGATTATTTAAAAAAAAAAAAAGTCTTCCGACCGTTTTGGAAATTTTACCGTGTTAGGCAAGTCACATAATAAGTGGCATAATAAGCGTTATTACCATAAAGAAGAAGGAATAAACATCATTGTAAAACCAATTCATTCCCAGCTGCACTCGGAGTCTAAAACGTTTTACCGCATGAGTCAATCGATCAACGTACTAAAGCAATTCGCGGTTACATGATTGTGTATTTTTTTTTTTTTAAAACGGTCGTCTGGTGGTACGCGTGGTAATAAAACCTGTATAAATATAAACGTGCCGAATTCAATACGGTGTCGTTATCTGACTATTGCCACGGACGCGGCAACAATATTACAGATACGGTTCACGTCTTGAGTGACGGCGACCACGTCGCGGGGTACGGTTGGGGGGTGGCGGGTTCGCTCACGCACTCGCTCGCGCGTATCGCCGATCTATTATTTCATTGTCACGAGGAATGTTCGTTGTCACCCGAATCCGCGAATCCAATTCCGACCACGCGCAATCACCTCGATTTTGGACACCGACGGAACGTACCGATTATCCGTTACGCACATTACGACGTTCTCGTGCGCGTAACGGCCGGGTTGCGGACGTTTAAAATTCCACTCGGTCGGCTAAATAAACGAGTTGGAAATTTCGCGAATTAATTTTTTCCGAAAAAAAACGGATATCGAGTTGGTTATCGCCTCGTATGGTCGGTAATCGAAATAGCAGTTTTCGACACAGAAAACCGCTGCCGAGGGGGGGCCCCGTTTTCAACCCCTCGGTCGTGTATTGCGTCGTGGTCGGCCGTAAATATCACGGCCAGGTTGGGTTAACGATTATAGCTAATCTTAGATATCGCCAGCCGCCGTTCGAAACACTAACGTCCTACGCCACATAACTTGTAATATTCCAGTATCTTATCTTATCTGCCGCCGTCGTAGCAGCCAGACGGTGCCGCGTTCGAGTTGAAAATAGTTTATCGGTTGATTATTATTTTTATTTATAGACAAGAGTAATCGCGAGACGATTATTTGAAAATGTTGTGAACAAAATTATGTAACTGCGTGAACAAAAAGGCGACCACAAATCGGAGCAAATTTATGTGCGCGTTGTATTTTGATCTCGACCGCACACGCGTCCGTCGAAAATTCGAAATATTTCGTTACTGTAATTGTGCGTCGCGCGTTGAATTTCGACGCTCAGATGTTGCAGCGAACAATTACAAAAACATTGTGTTGTAGCGTTGTCATTTTATAATCAGACTTAGATTCTGAGCGTAGCGAAGATGCTTATGGTTTTTCAAAGATTTTTATTTTTAGTTTTAGGGAGGTTATTTTTCGGTTTTCTTAGTTGTTTTTTTTTTTCAAAATCCGTTATCAACTCCGATAGCATCGGAGAAAAATGTCAGTAACCTAAACCTTGGAGGCGCAACCTAAACCATAAACCGTTCGGAATCATACCCACTCATAGCAAACGATAGTTTTCAAACCGAGGTGTTTTTAAATTATTGAAATTTTGCGTGCCCATTGAAATTTCCAAAAAAAAAATTTATCGGATATTCTAACCAATACAATCGGTTAATTTCAACAGTCATATTTTTTACTTAAATCGAATATCCGTCCATTCCTATAATTTATATCGTTTCTAAAAGGCGGGTTACGGTTGTGGCCAAAATTGTTAAACCGTGTGTTTATGTTGTCCAATACCGACACGAATAAATTGCTGAATTATTTTTCTAGCGTACAATCGATTATATCGTTTACAAATCAGTATCACAAGTTAAAAAATGTACGTTCAACGTGGGTCGTGACTACAATGTATTTATCGGACAGAGACCATGATAATTGCTATACGCCAGATGAACAAAATATTAGGGCTTGCACGATATTTTATTTTATCGGTGGGAAATAATATCATTCCCATTGCTATCAATAATAATTATTGTTATTTTTATTATATTGTCATTTTTTTGTCGTGGCTCTCGCCACAACAATATTATTTATTATCTACAAAATCCGAAAAGTTAATATTATTATTTCTATTTATAGAGTTGATGCTGAAATTCCGTGCGCGGCAAAGCCGTGGTATGTACCGTGATATTATAACAGAGAATTTCAAAATAATTTCTGGTGAAGCGGTTTTAGATTCGGATCGTAGCTATTGATATTACCATAATCTATGTGTATTTTACTATTTTTCAACTTTTGTACTCCTGCAAAAAATTAATTAAATTATAAAATGTATATAAGGGCATTTGTTTTTAGAAAGTTCTCTAATTTTTACTTGTACGCCATTGGTAGAACCAGACATTACTGATGCACCGTCGTAGGATTGACTTATACATTTTGTAATATCTAAACCAAATGAATTTAAAAATTCAATAATATAATTAGTTAGACCTAGTGCATCTAATTCTTCTACTTGTATAAATCCTAAGAACCTTTCTTTTATAGATAATTTATGTACATATCTAATACATATTGACATTTGTTCAAATGTTGACGCATCACGAGCTTCATCAACAATTAAACTATAAACCGAACTACCTTCATTCACTTTTTAATACTTCTCGATTTTTATTTATATTCTCTTCGACATGTCTATTCATTTGAGTCGTAACAGCTCCTATACTTTTTGATGATATATAACTTTGATATTTGGCTAATGATTTTTTATGGGAATCTGCCGAGTATCCCCGAAATATTTTTCCTAATTATTATATCCTGTGGCTATTAAAACATCTTGATGCTTTTCACGAAACATAGAACTTGTTAAATGACGAATTCCATCCAACTGAACAGAATATTCAATCCAAGGATAAACTTTGTACCATGAACTTTGAAAACTACGTTGTTTTTCACAAATTTTACGACGTGGAAAATTGATAATCGGCTGAATAGGTTGTTCATCACTATTTAAGCTAATATCAAGCACATTTAAGCTAGAAGAGGAAATAGAAGACTCGTTAGAAGTTGAGGTAACATTTAATTTTGACATTTTCGTTTGTGGTTGATCTAACCAATATAAAATGAAAAAAGTACTTAGGTTATTCTAATAGTTCTAATAATAATTGTTACATAAACAAAAACAGACAAAACGATTTCCTCGATCGGCTCGGTTACACACAAGTCACTATAATACGTCTACACAGTACACACTGTAATAAATTAATAAATTATTAATATCTAAAAATAACATATTTTATAAACCATATTCATTATCTTATATCAAATGACGATTGTCCGCAGTAAACGGGCAGTGACGAATGTATAAATAACTCACTTCAGATAATTGGATGTATTATTGTCTATTATTTACTATTTTTAGTCGTACATTTTAGCCGATAAGCAGTACTGTGGCTACAATTGTTTGCGACGAAGGAAAGAATAAATAATAACTTATAAAAACGTATAAACGCTTGCTGTAAATGGGTAATAAATAAATAATCTTTGTTCCAAAATGATTTAATTACATATCGTATTATGGCTACAATTGTTTGCGACGAAGGAAAGAATTAATAATAACGTATAAAAACGTATAAACGCTTGCTGTAAGTGGGTAATAAATAAATAATCTTTGTTCCAAAATGATTCAATTACACATCGTATTATGAAGAAAAAAATTTTCCTATTTAATTATTTTCCTAATTAATTTCCTAGAGCACTATTATTATGTAATTCAATTTGTAATGAAGTCGACTTCTTTTTTATGTCTCGTGAATCTTTTAAAACAAAAGCTATATACCTACTATTTAATTGAAATTTATTTTATATACGTGTAAATTTTTGTGATAATTCACCTTTCAAACTATATTAATTAATTATCTTGTATATGTATGGTTGTTCTAGAATATTGTATTATATCTTATGTAAAGGGCTTGTCCCGTTAAACTTAATAAATAAATTAAATAAATAACCGAAAGGAAATAATACATTCGACCGATTGGCAGTAGTCTATGGTTTTAAACGATCATTTTTTTTTAGTTCTAATTTGTATAATAATAAAATGTTCGATATGTCTCGTCTTCTCGGTTAACAACAAAAAAAAAAAATAAAGCAAAAAAACCGACCAGAAAACACGAAAATGTGGCAGAGCGTATATTTTTTATAAACAATTATTTTTATTCACGCGTTGTAAGAAGCGTGAATTCTCGACTCTCGATAAAAAAAAAAACAGATTAAAACGTATACATGGACGATGTACTTATATTTTATTATTTAATCTACGATAAGATGAGAATTATTTTTATAAAAGACGGGATAATTTACATTACGATTCACGAAACTAGCTACTCCGCAGTGGCGCTTCCGGTGGCAGTTTTCGTGAGGGTTTCACGAACGTTTGATTAAAATAGCGCGGCAATTTAAAAATGACGCGGCAATCAAAAATCGAATGGCTGGCTTGTTGATTTGAATTTTACCTTTCACTGACAAACATTTTATAACCCATTATATCGGTACCGTGGATACTCCATGATAAACACACAGTCACATGGTGAAAACCGTGTTGTATGTCAAATTGTTGCGTACTGTGTGCAAGTTTGAGAATTTGCGAAAAACCAAAATTTAACAACCGGTAGAACCACGGCGGAGTCGCTAGTTTCGTGAACCGTACTGCCGCCCGCCGTGTAGTGACAACTATTGAGGTCGGGCGATTCCCGCACCCCGCCGTTCCGTTATTGTTATCCACAAACCCCACCAGAAATATGTATCAAACGGCCATTTTGGCGACCACGGGATGCAATTGGTATTAGTTGAATTGCACCCGGATCATTACTCTTTTCGTATTCTTGCTGCGCGGTTGTCTTTTACCAGTCCCAACCGAACCAGCCATTTTGTGTATGCGTCAAGATATTTTTCTACGTCTTTTTCTACTTTGTTCAATTCGCCGATTGCAATAATAGCAAGGTAAATCATATTTTCCATTAAATTTAATAATTTTAACGTTAACCTAACCCCAGACATTAATTTAAAATATTTAATAGAAATATTAATGAAACATTTTTTCCCCGGACCTCGAACGAATTTTTCGATTTTTTTTTTTTTTTTCGAAAAATTCTTTTACCTAACGACTTGTTAGCCCCGTGCTCTATTCAAAATTTCGATTTTTTAAGTTTTTATTTAGTACAATATAAACCATAAATTTAATAATTACTCAATATAACTACATTTATTACTCTATCCTATATCCGGTTGCGTTTTGGAAGGTACCTATATACCGGGGTTTACGGCGTACACCGCTATTTACTATACATTTTTATTATATGCCATTATTGTCATTTATTAATATTATCTATAAGTATTAAGTTAAAACTGTAACAAATTGAATAAATGAAATTGGTTATTACTACGTAACTATTTGTACATATTATAATTTATGTGTAAATTGCGTGTTGTTGCTCGTTACAATTTTTTTTTTGCATGTAAAAGTCCTGTATTATTACTGAGAAATTATTAGTATATTAGTGTTCGTATTATCTATGAGTAATATTATGCATAGTGATTTGAATAAAATTCAAATAGTTTTTTTTTTTCATTGTTTGGTACCTATAAAAAATTTGTCAAATAATAACCCAAAATAATACCAATCCTCCGCAATAATTATTTTGTTTTTGTGATTTTAAATAAATCGCAATAAGCATATTTGTTTTGTTTCTTATTTTTCAATTATAAAGTTTTATTTTTTATTTTTTTTTTTTTTAATACACTTACCTAATTTATTATTGAAGGGTAACAGTTATTTCACAAATTAAGTTTCTTTTTATTATTAGAAATGCGGCAAATTGTCCATTCTAAATTCGCTTATGTTTTTGGCATTTTATACGCGTAGTGCCATAGCCAGTAGCGAATTCGGGGGAGGAGGAAATAAATTAAGTGTGTGTCCTTGCCGTAGCGGTTTTACCGAGGAAACGTGGAAGTCGGTGTCCCCCTTGAAAATAAAAAAAAAAAATACATTGTTAATATTATTTAAATTATAAAATATTGTTTGTTCATATTTTATTATATTTTCAAATTAATACAATATTATAAAAGGAAAATAAATAAAATGTATGTTTAATTTTTGTATGATTGGGGCTATGAGGTGTACCGTGCCTACCGCTAGATCTCGAGATAGATATGCTGCAGAATCATGTCATGGTATAGAATATATTGTATTTTTTTTTTATTTCACAGATTTTAAACATTAATTATATAAATTTGAAAATAATAATAAGTTTAATATTTATACATTAATCGACTTGTATGTAAAATAAATACGATTTTTTAAAAATGTACAGGTGTACGTTGAATTACCAATAACAGTGGCTGCACCCGTCCCTATTATCCTAGGACGTATTTTTAATTTTCCCATCTTTTTTAATCAAAAGAACCAGGTCTTCCTCATTATTTCGAATATTTACGAGAGATTCGAAAAATAACCTCTTTAAATTATCATTCAGAAGACATTTCTGTTCAGCAAGGGTGCTTTTCTTCATAATCGGATTATGCTTTCCGGTATAAGTGTTCACATAATAAAATTGAAAAAAAAAAAACTAATACTGGAGATGGGAGGATGTTTAGATGAGATGTTGGGAATTTCGGATTCATGGCGTTATTTCATTTATATCGGTAAGCAACGATAAACTATTGTTTGACGAAAGACGATTCCGAGCGCAGTTCGGTGATACATAATTGAAAGTGCCGTAATTTTTTTGACGATTTTCGTTTAAATTTGATTTCAAAACGCGTATTTATAAAAAAAAAGTCGTCCGATCGTTTTGCAAATTTTACCGTGTTAGTCAAGTCCAATATAAGTGTTATTACCATAAAGAAGAAGGAATAAACATTCATTGTAAAACCAATGCATTCCTAGCTCCGCTCGGAATGTGAAATGTTTTACCGCGTGAGTCAATCGAACATCGAACCAAAGCAATTCGCCGTTACATAATTGTGTATTTTTTTTTAAATTTTTTTTTCTGTGAATCCGACCGCAATTCGTTTTAGACGCGGGACGGTTGTCTCGCGGTACGCGGGGTAATAAAACCTTTATAAAACATGAACGCCATTATCCGTCTTTTGTCACGGACGCGGCAACTGTATTACAGATACGGCGCACGACTCGAGCGGCGGTGTCGCGTGTTCTCGCACGCACAGATACGGCGCACGACTCGAGCGGCGGTGTCGCGTGTTCTCGCACGCACCCGCGTGCGCGTTTCGATGTTTTATTATTTCATCGTCACCCGAATCCACGATTCCGATCCCGATCCCGATCACGCACTGCGACGGTCACCAA